TGCAAGGAGGTGGCCTTCGGCCACCCCCCCGCACCCACACCGTCACAGAGGTCTGCCCCGACAGTACTATCATAGCAACAGTACAATCGTAGAAGTCGTGTGCCCCTGTGCAGGGGAGGGGGGGGGGGGTGAAAGTTATTTCGCGTGGAAAGTTTAACATTTCTGAACAGGGAAAGGTGTAGAATAGTGATTCATAAATGGTAAGAAGTGTACCTCTTATATTCATTTTGATTGCATTTATTCTCGGTCTGTTATATTGTGTGTGTGCGTGCGTGTAAAAATAGTACTTGTTATAATACATATATGGCAGAAATGATACATTAACACGTATAATTTTCCAGAAATGATACGTTAATTTTGAAACTTTTTTTATTAATAACTTTTTAACGAGTTAGGTCCGACGGTTAAAGCTTCCTCAAGGTCACTCAGAGTAATGACCTTGACAACATATGTCAAGGTCATTGGGGGAGGCTCCCCTAATCTACATTTTTACCAATTTCTTTTTTATTTATGGGAGTACAAATTAGTTCGGTCCGTTTTCCAAAAGATGATCGCTTCCAAAGACGAGTCATTTTTTCGAAATGGAATTCGAAAATTGCCTGAGAGATGGGAAAAAGTAGTAGCCAGCGATGGGCAATACTTTAATTAATCTGTTTATTCATTTTGTTTTGAAGTAAATGCATTTTTGAACACAAAAAACGGACCGAACTAATTTGTACACCAATAATAATATATATAATAATATGTTTTGTTTGTATATATACACATATATATATATATTGTATGTATATATATATATATATATAATCAATGTCTACACTCATTGCGTTTTTGCATAAATCCTCAAACTCTTATTATTAGAACCGAATAAATGCAGCAGCAAACTACAAGTGACTATAAACTACTGCAAGCTGCAAGTCCTGCAAGTTAGAACCAGTGATGCAAACTCGTGTCCGCTTGCGGACAATAAAGAGCCTCTACTTGCAGGACGTCAACAGCGCCATTCATCAACACGAAACAGAGTGACGTAACACATAACCAATGATGCGAATATCTATTTACAGCACGCGATCAGTGTCTGCATACGGTGGCACTGATCGCGTGCTGTAAGTAGATATTCGCATCATTGGTTATGTGTTACATGCCACCGCAGGCACTGATCGCGTGCTGCAAGCCGGCCGGAATTCGTATCTTTGGTTACGTGTTGCTCGTATTGTGTCTGACACTTAACTTAAAAAAAATTAATAAAAAGTTACTTACTGATAAAATGTAACTAAATAAAGTTAAAAAGTTAGGAGTCTAAAATGTAACTAAGTTAAATTAAAATTAATTAACTTTTTAACTTAACTTTTAACTTTTTAATTTAGCACTACCCAACCCTGGTAATTATACTAATAATGTAAAACATAATATTACATGCTCATAATTGCGGCGTGGCTCGCATTGGCCTTTGTTCAATACTGATTTGAGTTTCTTATGTTGTTAAATACAATATTTATACATTTGCGATTTAGGTGGCCAAACTGCGACAGTGAAACGACGAAAAAAATCCACGGCTGCACCAAATCCAAAAAAAATGTTTGAGGAAGCACAGATGGTTCGAAGAGTGAAGGCCTATCTTGCGAATATGAAAGTGATCACCGATGAAGAACGGTTACATCAACTTTCTGTCGATTGCGAGCCACATGCAGGAGCTGTTGCAGTTGCAGCTGCGGTACCATTGGGTGGCAGTCGGGGAAGGAGGCATCCATCGCCTACTCTGTCAACTACTAGTAGCGCCAGTAGTACCAGTGAAGGCAGGAAGAGTATACAAGGTTGGTGAATTTGTACAACTGTGCGCTGTAATATATTTTTTGTGAAGAATTTATATTATATTTATATATTATGAATTTTTCAGGTACAAAATTCGGCGCCGCGTCGCCACAAGCAGTTAGAAAGATGTTGGCTTTGTCTGATCCTCACAAGACACGACCATATCAACCTAAGCACTGTGCACCACCGCTACCTGTACCTGGATTAGCGTTGCATTCGAGTGGTTTAGAACCTAGTCCAGGTGCACCTAGAAGAGTAGGTTCCGGCAGCAGGGTACCAATGCACGAACGATCCCACAGCGATACACCTGCTAGCTTACCACCGCCTGTCGATCTCAGTGCAGAGAGCAGTAGTGTAACTAGTTTGAGCAATCTCCAGCCGTTAAGAAAAACCTTAACAAGTGGTGAGTACGACCTTTTTCTTTATGAAATATGGTTTGATGCGAGATGATGCTGTCCAATACAATGTTTTTTTTTTTAGATTTACCTAAAGATATATTTAGATTGTTCCGTCTAAATAGATCTCTCAGTTATTTTATTTTGCGTACTTTTAATAGCTTTTTATTTATAAATCATATTGACTTTTTAGATTTTATTGACAGACGGATAAATGTTAATTGATTAAATCGATTTAGACACGCATCTCGCAAAGCACCATCACGCACTTTCGTTGCTCGTTATTTAACACTGGTCAGGTATCGCAACAAGGAGTCTCATTATTATGCACGCTGCACAGCCGTTTACGCAATTCATAAATGTTCCATGTTATTTAGTTGATTCATATATACACGACACTCACACATGCATCTTGTACGCCGATTACTTATAGCGCGAGCTTTTCTTTTTGATCAGACGTTACGAAAGAGAGAGAGAGAGAGAGAGAGAGAGAGAGAGAGTGTGTGTGTGTGTGTGTGTGTGTGTGTGTGAGTGAGAGAGAGAATATATTTTGAACTTAACTTCACGAACTGCAGTTTCGACTTGAACTCTCATACCATGGGACATACGGAATTGTATTTTAATGAGATCGGTGTATCTACAGCGCTGCAATCGAAGTAGACAATTTTCAATAAATCCTGATAATTTTAATTCGTAAATGTTATAGAAAATAAAATAATTTGCACAGTCGTAGTCTATATTGAACGATAAATTAAGTGTTTAAATGAGTATAAGTTGATTTCTGAAAACATTGCATAGAGAATCAGTAAAATATCATTAGTTGTAATTTTAACACGGCGTTACAGTCGTACACATAAGATATACTTGTTGATTACGTTCTGCCAATGATAGGATATAAATGCTTGTAGATGGCAAGAAAGAGATATACAATAGATAGGAACATGCGAAAGACGTGCAATTGGAGTGCGGCGAAATAATCAGCTTAAATCACGTTCTTGCATCGACTCTCTTTGTGAAACAGTTTACTTTAAATTCTTTAGAATAAAAGATACGGATTAATGAGGCAAATAAGCGTCGCGACTAGACAATAAGGTCATTTAGCGGTCGCATCAGGGCGTAATCCTTCGGTTAGAACGTGTGTAGTGATAGAAGTGTCTTGGGAACCTGTGCGTAGGTTCGGTGACGAGCAGTGACAGTGGTCATAGCACTCAGCTGGACAGCCACAGCGGGAGCAGCGTGGAAGCAGGCGGCAGCCCACCGCCATCGCAAAGACGACACTCCGCTCTGCAAGGTACGTAATCAAAAAATCGAAAGTGAAACGAGAGAACAGATTATGGCGAAGTGTGCTCGTGTGCTGTTTCTTTTGCCCGATCCGTAGATATACATACCGTAGTAGAATAGTAGAGACAGTAGTTTCTTTCGCGATGTTTGATGCCATCGGACCGAAAACTGGCACTGACAATCGAATTTTTCTTGCCGCGTTTATGACAAGAGCTGAATACATTTTACTATGTAAAATTTTTATAGTTGTTTACATACCTGTCCGTTCATTTTTATATTATTTTACATTGATTTTAATTTTTGCATTATCTATTTTTATGATGCCAGATGGTTACGTGTCAGTTGTTTTGTATTGAATAAAAGTATTGAAATTATTTAGAATCGAAATTAGTGCATTATTATTTTGGTGTGTCTAGATTTTCATGCTATACATATGAAAGTGATTTTTGTGTTTGATGCTGTAGCATCGAGAATTAAATCGTTCGAGATGTCTAGTGTCTATTCTTAAATATTTACAGTTATGATTAGAGTTTATAAATTATTTACGCAATAAATATATATATATATATATCATATATTTAATTTCAGTTATTTTCTCTGCTAAATATTAAATATTAAGAGTTTTGGTTGATGTATTATTTATTACAATTATTTGCTGTTTATGTCATTGGCTAAATTTCATCGCTGAAAAACGTATGTCCCATGGCCACGTACCTTCAAGTATTAAACGGATTACTGTAAATATTATACGAGTGCAAATAAAGAATGAAATCTTATTACTAAATCTTGCGTGTCGTATGTTGTATCGATATTCACGTCATCGAGCGCTGCATATATAGCATAGTAACTGTGCTTTTAATCGCTTTTTAAAGTTTCGTCGCTTCTAAAATTCGCTCTATAACTTATTACTACTCACTTGATCACACAGGCGGTATTTCATGTGTTATTCGTCATAATCATGCGCTTTTGAAAATATTTGCATCGCATAAAGGCGATTTGTTCCGAGAATTTTTTTCGTGTTTTCGGTAACGGCACAAGTTTGTACATTTTGTAAACAAGAAATATGTCGTATGTGGCCTCTGTATATATGGTGCAGGGTCTGTTATAAGAGGCGGAGCACCTCCGTTCCCTCACGCGGTAGCAGTGTTACCTCCGCTTCCCGCCAATCAGAATCACAACCACAATCATCACCACCATCATCACCATCACCAACATTATCACGATCATCATCATCATCACCAACCCCCAACTCCTCAAGGTGAGTTCGCGACTGTCTGCCTCTTGTTTCGTTTAACTGATTTGCATTGATTCATTGATCTTGCTGTATCTGCTGCTTCAAAGCAGAATACATTATTTTGAAGATGCAAACAGTATGGCTCATGCATGTGACACAACATATTAAAGTATTGCGAACGATAGAAAGTAATCTTGGTTTTCTGCGTCTTTAATGTATAGCTTGAGCTTTGTAAGTAACTTGAGATTGCCTTTCTCAAGAAAAATCGGTGTGTTTAGTCTCTGGTGCGTGACGTTGCCGTGTATGTAAAACTATCAATTATTATCAAACGAATCTGTTGGTATGCACGCTGGCGATAAATGTAGCACTGGCATTCGTTTCTAGTGTGGCCTAGAAATACAACGCGTTGCATCAAGCTTGCTCCATTTACGTATACCGTAGTATTAGCGGAGATAATTGAGTATTTTTTAAAAGATACTAATATAAAATAGTATGTCTGCTTCTTTTCTCTTGGGTAGATTGTGTGTGGCGGGTAGCGATGAATGTCTTTTGCGGTTTCCATTAAACTCGCGTATCGCGTATTTCTCGTGGATCTCAGCTGGAAGCGAGCGCAATTATCTGTTATCTTTTTCAGATTTGTTTCTACTAATGTAGCTTAATCTTTATCTATTTCTAGTTCTAAGAATTAGAAAAAGATGAAGAGTAAGTTGAATTGAAATTAAAGTTAATTTACATTGGTAGAAACGGACATCAATGATTTGTCAAGTGGTGTAATTTTTTGTGTTACTTCTAAAGGATGAAAAAGATAAAAGATACATTTTAATCAATATAGTTGGCCATATTGAATATTAACAGAAGAGATGGTAACGTAAATAAATATTGCGTTGTAAAAGTAATAAATAAATGCATAGAGAGTCAAGTGACAATGCTATAAAAACAACTTTTTATTTTATACTTTTTTAAATATAATTTATTTTGTAAAATAATGCATTTAATATTTAATGTTATAATTTTATACAATATACAAAATATTGTATTTTGGCTCTTGATACTCCATTGATTAGAATGAGTATAAGTGGAAATAAATTTACTCGCTTTTCTTGAAATTCTCGCTCGTTTACAAACGCTATATCCGCGGTGGTAAGTGAATTACTTTATCAACAACGAGATGGAGGATGTTGAGAAGGCGAGGAAAGGCGGCACGGAATGAAGAGAGATCGAGAGAGTCGAGGGTTTTCAGGTACTACGGGATTAGGAGTAAACATGGGCCTAGGGATGCCAGCTCCGCTACCACCGCCCGGAGCAGGGACCACGACCATAATGACAATGAGTGCCGTGATGGGCAACAACATGACATCGTCGATACGATCTGGCATGAGTAACACACCGCAATGTCGTCAACCACCGGCATACAAAGTTGCGCAGCAGATGGCGAGATTACACAGACTCGGTCGTGCTAACAGCCACGAGGGGGTCACCTATCGAGGCACCGATCACGAAGATGGTACTGCAAAATCGTTGTACCGTTTACACACGGTTTATATTCACCCTCATACACACATACATATATTCGATTTACGCTCGTTGAGGCTTCTTACGTTCTCGTTGTCAACTTTCACACACGGCGAGGAGTGCTGATTTGTTGGCGAAAGCACTCTGTCAGTTTACTACTGTCAGAATAGCTTTTGTAAAAATTGTACTCTCATGACTATTAATTTGCAACATTTTTATTACTTTTTCCTGTTTGATATGTTTTATCGTGCGTGCATTGAACATATAATTATTATTTTGATATTACATATTTCCAATTTTTCTATACACATTTAAAACGGATATGTATGTATTGTATAACTATTTTTAGGATTATAATTTTTTATTCTAATATGTGTAATGCTAATTTAAAAATATTTGCAAGCCATTTTCTCTGAAATAATCTTTTCCATTTCTAAAAAAAACTTGTTGTATGACAACTTAATATATTTGAACAAAATTTTGATTGAACAACGAACACATATTTGAACATAATATTGAACGTAGTTGTAAACACAATGACAGTATTAATTAACGGACATTATGTGGCTATTACACAATTTAAATGAATACTATATTTAATACCTGTAAAATGAGCGAAATATCTATATAACATATTGTAAAATTTGTATTTAATCAGTGTGATTGTTATGTAGCACTTATTAAGCACAGTTTTGTGATGTATAATCATATTTGTTTGCGTTATGTCAATATTTATGTTAATGATCATTGCATAATACACAAGCTTGCCTATCATCATTGAATTTTGCATTGAAACATTACGATATATTAAATTTTGCGATTTGTTCATCTTTTGCGTGATGTCGAGGCATGATATGCTGCTTGTTCCTGTCGCACGTTTTTTTATTCTTTGTTTATTTTAGTTTGCATCAACTATTTATTTTTCTCGAATTGATCTATTTTAAAATAATGTAATTTAGAATTTTAGAAATGCAATACATTATACGTATTTATAGGCGAGAGATTCTAACGCATAATGATATGGAAAAATAAATATAAATAGCTTATCTATGAGATGCGACAATAAAGTTTCGAGAATAATTTTGTTTTTGTCAAAATGACAATATTGTAAATCATTATTTCCCACGTGTAGCTTGAATTTTCCTTCATCTATATACGAAGATTAAACGTTATCAATCATTTCAATCATTGTACAAGTTGATTCGTTTAAAGACGTATTTATATTTTGTGTTACGAGAAAAAAAGAATGCAATTTAGAACAAACTTAGAGCATCACATGTATTCAAAATGAGAGAGAATATAAACAATTTTAAAGATGTCCTTAAAATATCTTATGTTCCGATTTTCAACATTAGTACTGTCTGGAAAGAGCTGTGATAACATTTTTATGAAAAAAGTAAAGTCTGGTTAACTTTTCATAAATATTTGCTAATGATTTGCTTACTTTTTACTAAAAATTTTATTAAAAACATGATTTTTTGGCTCTCTAAAGTTTATTCCATTTTTTACTAACATAAATACAACTTTACAAAATTTAACTTGTACAATCACACACAAAAAATAATATTTATCTTTTGCTTACGGATAGAGGGAGTTTATATTGTGGAAGATATCGGCTCACAGTCTTGTCATTTTGACGGAAATAAAATTATTCTAAAAACTTATTGCATCTTATAGATTGATTTGTGCGACACACACACACACACACACCATTACATAGGATATTGCATTATGCAGTATGAAATTTCTAGCAATAGTTTTCTTTAGCAGAAATCTTGGCATTATCAATCACTGTAACATTGCATTGAAATATTTTTATGATATATTTTGTTTCGATTTGAATTGATATTAATAAATTGAACAGCATTACAACTGTTAAATTATATTGATACAAATTAGAGTCTCTCGTACTTTTATCATAATATGGCACTTTAATATGTCATTTACTAAAACGCATTTTGAAATGTTGCAGATGACGAGGACGCTCAAGTGTCGGCGGTTTAAATGAGATCCACGAATTTCGCCGAGTCTTAATTATCATTTAGTTAATTTTGTTATACTTTTTCTTTTGCACGGCCAAAAGAGAAATCATTTCCGGATGATGCTATGCACGAACCGTTAAGCGAAAAGAGAATGCAAGAAAGATCGATGACGCTCACGAACTTTCTTTCTATAACGGCGAATGTCGTTTTGTATTTGTAGTATCTTAATTTAATGGCTTTTGGTCGTTATGATATTTATCTCTTGAAGCGTTGGTCATTTTTTAATGTTGATGGAATCTACTTAGATTTTTTACTACGAGAAAAAGCGTTTATTCTTATTTAAACGGAACGCTTGTCTTCCAAGGGTCACCGCGACGAAACTGAAGGAATCACCGAGAATCTCAAGCGTTAAAATATTTGTACAACGTACCATGGAAAGCGACAAATAACTGGTAAATGTCGATAAGCAGGAGAGAAAAGACGGTAGGAGAATACTTTTCTTTTATTAGACTGAAGAAACATTTCTCAAGTAAGTGATCGTGGGCTTTTACGAGGTAGCGAGAAGTGAATTAGACAAGAGGAGAGAAAATGATCGTAATATTCTATATAAATGTGTAATAAAACCAAGTCCAAAGATGTTATATATATATATATATATATATATATATTGCGTGTCGCCAGAGAAAGTATGATGGCGTGTCCTGTAATATATACTTAGTAGGCTAATCTTTAGTATCCCATAATAGCATAAGTTGGTGTAAATAGCATAGTGTTATAATTAGGGAAGAGGAGCAGAAGAATTACGAGAAATAAGACAAAGATTCATTATTTAGAATAGTGCGATTAGCTTTTGTGTTAAAAACACAAAAAACAAAAGTTTCATCAATATTATATATTTAATAGTTAAAAAGATTCGTCTTTTTATCAGTAAAAAAATGGAAACGTCTCATAATCGTTTTAGATTTCGTTTACGTTAGTCGAAACAGTTTATTCCATTTTAAGCGCCTTCCTTTTAAAAGATTTCTATTGCCAATCTGACTCTGGTACAGACAATTCAAATTTTATAAGGAAAGTTGAAGTATTTTTATGGTTTCGCTGAATTTTTTAATGACGACATAATCAAGTACAAAAGAAAAAGAGGTTCTCGAAGTCTACGATCGAGGTAATTGTTTTTTTTTACAATAGCGTGATCTTTTTAAGTATATTCGTTTACACGTCACGAAATGATGTGCTCCATTTATTTTTACAGAACGCATAACTAATTTTAACTTGCAAAATTATTATTTTTCTAATTTCAACCTTTGGGTCGATACTTTACCATCGATCCTTTAGTTTGATACTTTATCATCGGGTTTATACTCTTTTGTTATTTTATAAATAATTAAGGTTAATTCAATTTTACGAGTGTAATTTACAATGTATGAAAGAAATTTCTTTAAATCGCATTTCATAGAATTCGAGGGTAATGATAAAAAGAAGAAATAAAAATTTTCGTTACTTTACATGTCGGTACGAGGGAAGCGGTTGGCTTTATTATAGTAGATTTATCCATGTATATTATATATACACAGATACAAATGTGTGTACGTACACATGCACGCGCACACACCGCGCACGCGCGCGCACACATACACACATATACACACATACACACTTCATATATATTCGTATATTATATCTCTTTGTACATATCCTAACGACTTTTAAATATTAATATCCAACATTCTCGAAAAAAAATTTTAAGCGTATTTACTGATAATTAAGATTCTTCGTCATGCAGTGTCAAAAATTAAATCATTTTCTTTTCTTAAGGTCTGATGCGATAAATATATTTTTATCTTTACTCTTCTTTCGTTATCTTTTGCATTTTAGAAGTACCAGGCTCTGTATCATTCCACATGCATTTATAACTTTTGAGAAGAATCACTGAATTTTTATTTGGGAATTCTGGATATCGAAAATACTATTTTGCTTATTATAATCGAGATACATATTTGTAACAATTTTTTTTAATGTAAGAAATATTCATGTAAACAATAGGAATTTTTATATAAGAATATATAAAATGTAAATATTATTTACGATATCAGTTGGAACGCAGAATTCTCAGTGGAAAATTCAATTTTGTGTTGTTGCAGTAAAATCATGTAAACCTTGTGATATAGCATTATAAATTTATTAATCTCGAATTGAAGAAGCCTGGACGCTTTACAGTTAATTCTTGCTCTTTTCTTTTAGTGATTTTTATAAGAAACAATATAATGCGAACACGCGAGAATGTTTACCGTTTGGGAAATGGAAGTTAAGACGGGCTGCATTTTCTTCCGCTGTTTCTTTCTTTATTTTATTTATACCATGTCTCATTCTGTTGTTTTAATTATTTATAACTCCGAGATATATTCGTCTGTATAACGCGGATAGCAGGCAACAGAAAATCTTTTGTATTTAATTTGTTTAATAAAACTTGAATCATAAGTACAATGTCTCTCGTCTTTTCAGTTTCGTTCGATCATTGTGTGATCCTATCCTGCACAAGATCCATTTCTTACGCTTATTTATTAACAATATACAATAGTACAAAGTTTAACACTGGCTTCTCTTTAAGGTACATATACACGTATACACATTTCTATTTCGTGAAATATAACAAAGAAGAAGCAGAGAGAAGAGATTTTATATTTTGAAAATAAGTTATTATCTGTCGTGATATATATACATATATGTAGTATGATAAAATAAAACGTCTTAAAAGATGCTATAAAAAGATTATTGTGTCTCTAACAAGCGCGCACTATAATCTATCTTCTCAAAGAATCACTCTTTCAAACATTCTTTAGATATCTTATGTTTTTCTGGAATATTTGTTTGGAAGTGAAGAGCCAGGCGCTTTTCGAAATACAAAGGACCACAAAGCGTTAATTTCTCTAAAAACGTGGGAATATGTTTCTTAGAACTCTCACGCGTTCGAAGAGTGAAGCGCAAGTATTTCGCGACGAACATTGATTGCAATCGATGTTCGTCGACACCGTATATAGCGGGTTATCCATTGGAACGAAATTGATAAGTGAAACTACTACTATTTTGTACGACGATGTTTTGTATAATCTATCTACTGACTCTACGTATAGAGAGGAGAAGAGGAAGTCTACCGATCACTATATAAGTGGCAAAGTGTTATATCGAATGCATATTTAAGATTACCATTTGTAGACTTACGCGCATAGAGGTGTTACAGTCCCATTAATGTAAATCCCTTTCAGTAGAATAATATATGGATAATTAAAGGAATCGGCGGTGAATTTATTTACCATTTCTTTACGTTAAGACGCATGTGCGAATATTATTCATTAGGGAGAAAATTTAAAATATAATGTGCTTATGATGTGCTTTTTTGCGATCCCGAAAATATCGTGATTTGAAATGCAAGAAATGCGTTTGTGCGACTACCGCATGGCAGCCAGCGGTTGACGAGCGCACCTGTTGCTTTAGACAGGAACCAACTGACAGTCAGGGGTTAGTTGACTCGCTACACGTGAAATTACGACTTGAACGGCACATTGCCTGTGGAATTTCTTTTTCCCAAAATGTATTTTATATTTGATATTAATATCTTTCTGATATCTTTTATTTAAAATTAAATTTTTGGATCGGATAGTGTAATCAGGCTGTTTAACGTTTTTCGTTTCGTTTATTCAATTAAAAGAACACTAAATGTACACACACGTTATATGATGTGTAATTTATCAAAATAAAAGTCTTGTGAAATTTAAGTTGAAAAAATATATTTGTATAACTAATACGAATACGAAGCCTATAACAGTCTAGCTTGGATCTTAGTTGCTTATATATATAATTTTATATATGTAGTCTTTCTAAACTGCGCGTAAAGCAAGCGATCCGGGTTCGACTCTTCCGGCCGAATTAATATTTTTCGCAATGAGAATTATTATTTTCAAATTTTAATATAGTTTAACATCGATATAAGATGCCAAAAGACCATCAATTAATTATTAAATTGTCAATCAATTTAATTCATGAGCGGTAGTTTATTAGAGTTGCCGACATTTGTCAAGGCCGACAATTGTTCAGCGCGTAGTTTAGAAAGACTACATATATCAGTATCTTATATAGTAGTAGTAGTAGTAGTATATTAATGCAGGTGGGCTTAACCAGCCTACTAGCGCGACCTAGATCCGTGGTGAGGTTCCATTGTCGCTCCTGCTTGCTTCCGTAGGTTATTCAGTCATTCTACTGCTAGCCTACGCATTTTTCTAAATCCTTGGGTGTCAGTCCAATGTCTCCCAGGATTTATACTGATGTATAGGACCTAAATAGGACCCATGGTATAAGAATAAGGGTATGCTCACGCCGTGGACACCCACTGCGCAGTCAAAGCGTGACGTCACTCTCGGGGCCAATCAGATCGCCCAAACGAGAACATGGTGGCTCCTGATACTTGACATGGTTAATGTTCGGTGATACATACGATACGTACACAATGTCCTGTTGTATAAAAGGTTGTGGCAATTATTATCGCAAAACAAAATTGCTTAACGGAAACAGCATAAAATATTTTTCGTTTCCGAAAGATTTAACGATTGCATCTAAATGGCTTGCTGCATGTGGAAATCAAAACGTTAATATTAAAAAAGGTAAGATTTTGTATTTCTTGTAAATGTACAAATGTAACGAAATCAACTGTATATAATTTTGCTAAAGAAATACAACTAAAGAAATACAATATATACATATATCTCTGAAGGAAAAGGTATTAACATTTTTATATATTTGTTTCATAATAAATTCTTCTATCTTTGTTGAGTTTGTAATGTTTACTTATGGTTACATTTTGTTACAAGATATTCATTAGTTCTTAAATTATTTAAAAACGTATTTTTCCTGTAAACTTTAAATCAAAATAAAATAAAATATCTGACGAAAATGCTGCTAACATAAGTTGTTTGGAAACAGCAGTTTTAAATTTACCGCTTGTTTGTGTGACGTCACACTTTGACAATTTTAATTGGTCGCATGCGCGTGAGCATACCCTTATTCTTATACCATGAATAGGACCTACAATTTAACGCCGAATCCGAACGGCGCTGATGATCGTAGATTTTTTTTTGATCACCAGGTGGAGCCATTTTTTGGCTCATTAAACGCGAAAAATCGCGTTTGGGCGCAGGTGGGATTGAACTCGGGTCTACAGATCGCGAGTCAATCGCACTGAGTGGTGAGCCACTCGACGCCTCAGTATTTATATAAATTCACGCGAAATTATATATAAGCAACACTAAAAATCCAAGCTAGACTGTTATAGGCTTCGTATTCGTAATAATTATGTTATTACATTAACGATCTATAGAATGGAAAAATATATTTATATTATATTATTTAGTAAATGTCTAGATTGGGGGATCCTCCCCCAATGACCATGACCTTGACATATGTTGTATGTCAAGTTGCTTTAAAAAAAATGTATGCAAAATGGATAATTTTTTAAATACGCAACTATGTGTTTTCTTTACACTATTTGATTTATCTCATTATTCTGTTCACAAAAATATTAAGGTACGATAATCAAAAAATCAACAGTTTACGAGTTATTTAACATTTTGTGTCAATATGTACCAAAATAATATGTAAAATATCTCGTAAACTATTGGTTTTTTGGTATCTCTACCTTAATACTTTTATATGCAAAATAATTAGAGGAATCACGCTATCTAAAAAAAAAATTACATAATTCCATTTAAAAAATTAAAGGTGACCTTCACGTAACCTTCAGAGGACTATCCAAGGTCAAATCGATGGCACCATCTTATGTCCCCCTTCGA